GTTTTGTAGGGATTTTTTTTATATAATATTATACATTACGTGCCCAAAATCTAGACCCCACGCACATGCCCTTTTGTTTTCTTATGTGGCTCACTTCCCACGCATAAGGAAGCAAATCATGAAATACAAGGAACTACAAAAATCATAGGCACTTTTCTACAATTTTGTTCTCTCTCACAGATCATCATTCTTACAAATTGTTAGCATATTTATAATCCTCAACACATACAGAATCTAATGGTATAATTACTTCCTCAAACAGAAATAATCCAATTTTTTCAAAACCTAACAGACACTTTTCTATAATTTCGTTCTCTCTCCTAGATCATCATTCTTACAAATTGTTAGCATATTTATAATCCTCAACACATACAGAATCTAATGGTATAATTAATTCCTCAAACAGAAATAATCCAATTTTTTCAAAACCTAACCTACAGACACTTTTCTATAATTTCATTCTCTCTCCTAGAGCATCATTTTTACAAATTATTAGCATATTTATAATCCTCAACACATACAGAATCTAATGGTATAATTAATTCCTCAAACAGAAATAATCCAATTTTTCCAAAACCTAACCTACAGGCACTTTTCTATAATTTCGTTCTCTCTCCTAGAGCATCATTTTTACAAACAAATCATATATTTGTTGTCCTAAATATATACAGAATCAGGAAAAAATAAGAGAGAGAGAGAGATGAAACCAAGAATAGTTAGTGTAATAATTTTACTCTTGCTGTTGCTTCCTTCAATTCAACACTGTCCTCGCATGACAACTGCTGTAATGTTCTGTACGTTGTTTGTTCAACTTCTGAGATCATCCTTTTGAGGCTTTCAGGACCAAACAATTCAGCACCATGTTCTTAAGGTACTTGTACATAAACCCATGTAAGGAGCCTACATTTTGTCGTCCAAAGATCTCAGTGAATGTTTCTGGATACCAGCTTTGGAACACTTGCCCCTCTTGTTGGAAGATGAAGTAATTATGATCAGGGTCTGTTGATACCACAACTGGTCGTCCAACCAAGTTGGTCTTGAAGATTGGTCCATACCTGAAAGAATCAAAATGGATGATCATGAATAAGTTTACTTCCTTAAAAGAATGCTTTTAATTAAGTTGAGATTAAAATGTTTATATATATACCTTTTCATTCTCTGCTTGATGAAAGGAGGAAAACTAAAATGAATGACAGATAAGATTAAATTATTAATGTCCTTGCATCTGTTATACAATTATTCACATAAATCTTCTTTTTTTGATCGTAAATAAAGTGAACTCTGAAATACATATTTTTTGATACATAAAAGTTTAATTGTTCACAGAAATCTTCAAAAAAAAAATAAAATCTACAACTAGTTTTATTATTGTTTAAGCAATTGTAATGATAACAACTACTTTTAAAGGCCCTTTCACTTTTAAGTAAAAAGTGAACTAATAACCCAAAAAATAAAACAATTCAACGGGCCTGGACGCAAAGCTAAAAGTTCATGTTTCCACTAACTCCACTTATTAATTATTCATGTTCTACATCAACTTTTAGCAATCAAACCGTTGAATTAAAAATTCTTAAAATATAGATCAAGTCTGCAAAGTTATAAAAAAATCAAAAATTATTTGATATTTTGTTTAATTGATTGAAATCAGCATACAAAATGCTTTTATGATTATCCATCAATTTGAATCAATACAACGAAGTATTATATAGTTTTCAAATTTTTTAAAACTTTGTATATTTGATTTATGCATTAAGAACTTTTAATTTAATGGTTGGATCATTAAATTTTGATATAAAACATGAGTTATTAAATGTGTGTGTGTGAAAGAGAGTGTGTGTGTATGAAGAAGGATGTGTTTATTCCAAGAGTAAGTCTACATAAATTTACCTTGTTCAATTAATAACTTGTGTTTTACATCAAATTTTAATCATCCAACTACTAAATTCAAACTTACTCTCTCTCTCTCTCTCTCTTTTTGATTAGCTAAAAGAAATGCATTAAGGAGGCACCAGGGTGCCAAACCCAAATACAAAAATGTTGAGAAATAAGAAAGAAGTTACAAATAGTCTTATATTACTCCAAAGTTTTATTTCTCTCTCTCTTTCTCTCTCTCTCTCTCTTTCTCTCTCTCTCTCTCTCTATATATATATATATATATATATATATATATATAT